GGAAAGAACTATTCAAACGCTTGAGGATATGTTGCGTGCGTGTGTAATAGATTTTGGTGGGAGTTGGGATACCCATCTGCCCCTTGTTGAATTCTCTTATAAYAAYAGCTATCACACCAGCATACAGTGTGCACCGTACGAAGCCTTATACGGACGTAAATGCAGATTACCGCTTAACTGGGTAGAGATCGGAGATAGACAGTTGACAACGCCTGATATTATCCAGGAAACCACCGACAAGATTTCAATCATCAAGTAGAGACTTTAGACGGTAAGAGACCGTCAGAAGAGTTATGCGGAAAATCGGAGAAAGCCATTGGAATTCCAAGTGGGGGATAAAGTACTCTTAAAGGTGTCACCATGGAAGGGACTAGTATGATTTAGGAAGAGAGGCAAGCTAGGTCCCAGATACATTGGTCCATTCGAAATACTTGAAAGAATCAGACTAGTGGCGTACAAGTTGAAGTTGCCACAAAATCTAAGCGTCATCCATGACACGTTCCACGTGTCGAATCTGAAAAAATGCCTAACGGATGAAACAATAGTGCTACCCCTGGACGACGTTCATATTAGCGATCGATTACACTTCGTTGAAGAACCAATCGAGATACTGGACCAAGAAGTTAAACGGTTGAGGAGCAGAAAAGTCCATATTGTTAAGGTCCGCTGGAATGTGAAACATGGTCCAGAGTACTCTTGGGAGCGAGAAGATTTCATAAAAGGCAAATATCCGCAACTGTTTGCAGAAAAATCCATTGGCAGTAGCAGTCGTTAAATTTCGGGACGAAATTTCTCTAACAAGGGGAGACTGTGACAGCTGTCAAATTCGAACTCCCAGGTTAGCTCTTATAAAGTTTATATTAGTGTTATTGAAGATAATTTATAATATTAGGAGTTAGTTTGGTCAGTTTGGTCGAAAAATTTCTAGAGATTCCGGCAGTTGCTTAGAAAGTTCGGTTCCGCCCGTAATTATCTGAAACGTCCTATACAGTGCCAAATGCTCTAATTTATACCTAATTTAATATAAAACACCAAGTTTTAGTGTTTTAAATATAAAACCTTTTCATTTAAATGAATATAGCCATCATGGGTTTTTAATTTGAAGAAAAATGTCAAAATTGAGAAAAATGGCATTTTAGCATTTGGGCTTTAGTTTTTATAAAAAAAAATTATATAGAGGGTGGGCTTGGGCCATCCCATCGCCGGCCATTCCCCCCTTTCCCTCCCTTAATCCACATATAAATACCTTAGCTTTTTCATCATTTCCTCATTTGCATCCCTTCAAATTTGAAACTCCTCTCCCTCTCTCTCCCAAAAACTCAAGAGTCACCTTCATCCTCCTTCATATTCAGCCGAATTCTTCCACTTTTCTTCATCAAAATAGCAAGGGATTTGACGATACTACATCTCTCATATCAACAATCAAGGTAACATCTTCATCTCCCTCTTTTTCTTGCAAATTTTGGGAGAAAAACCCATTATTTATGCATTTCTATCTACTATCTTCTAACCTCCGAAAATTCTGAGTTTTCAGGAGAAATTACACACCAACAACATGTAAAAATGTTCATATGATGGTGGTAATCTATGACCCAAACATTAGAACTCAAGAAGATAGGTAGAATCATGATTTTATGTCAGTTTGATTCTTGAAAATAGCATTTTTAGGTGCTGACAGATTAGGTGCATGTGCATAAATCGTCTATATCTTGAAAATAATATGTTCAAATGTTATGAATCTTCTTCTAAAAGTTTATTTATTGGGTTGGGGTTGTAATACAACTGGTCTCACTAAAAAACATTGAGTTTTGACTCCCCAAATACTCAAAACATTATATATGTGCATCTGAGAGTTTTTCAGTAGGTAAACCCTACTTTAAACAGCCATAACTCTTTAGATAATCATTCAAAATCATTGATTTTTCTTCTGGAAGTTAACTTAATGAGTTACCTTTCAAATGCCACTGATTTCATTCAAAAAATATGGTGATTTGAGGTTTTAACTACTCAAAACAAAGTGAGCATGCAATCTGTCCGAATATGACAGATTTGTATATGTATGTTCCAATGACCATATCTCTTTCAAAACTTGAGGAGAAAGAATTATTCTTCCTTTGATTGTTAACTATTGAGTTATCTTCTGCATTCAAGTGGAATCACATGAAAATATGGAGTTTCTTTCTCCAAACACTTAAAACACTTTAGGTGTGCAAACTATGAAACCACCAATAGGTAACTCCTACTTTGTATGCTAATATCTCTTTATTTACTTGCTTTTAGTGTATGATTCTTCCTCTGAAATGTTCTTTTATGAGTTAGGGTTCTTATGAACCTAGTTTCACTCAAAAATACGAAGTTTTGAGGCATTAACCAATTTAATTAAGTTAAGTGTGCAATCTGTCAACTAATGACAGATGTGTGCATGTAACTTTATGGTGCCATATCTTCCTCTCAACTCATCCAAAATGAGTGATTATTTGTTTAAAAGTTTCATTTAAGTGTTAAGTTTATAATCCAACTTGAATTTCTGCAGAACACTTAGTAGAACTCTTTAAATGAGTATTTTACTAACGTGGTGTAATCTGTCATATCAGTTGTGATATATTGTATTGCACAAATTATTTAAATCATTATTGCATGTCCAAAATGCATGAAATTTGGTCACAATGACCATAACTCAGTGCTATATCTCATATAAAAAAATAGGAAACTATCTCATTTTAAATGTCTCTTTAAAATGATCATTTTATGTATCATTAGTTTCTGTCCAAAAACGAGATTTTGGGATTATTTGATTTTATAAATTTAGATCTTTTTATTGGACTATAGCATTACTTTCGGTATAAATGAATATATTAACAAGCATATGGACATTATGTATATTTGGACTATAGATAATTAAGTTGGACATAAGTAGACACTTATGGAC